GGCTTTATTCATTCAGGATGTCCAAATGAGTAAGTTGTATTTCCAGTGCACCGTTACTGTGCCAGGAGCAAAGTCATAATGAAACCGAATGCTCTCAGCCAACTGCTATGAATGTTTTTCTTAGGTATCTTTGATTATTAATTTAACCTCCAACAATCGTCAGCTTTCAAGTTCAATCCGATTGGGAGATGTGACGCTCGTAATAGTACTGAGACCATAAGCAATCACTTTCAGAGCAATGAAAAAGTTGTTTTTCAATTCAGTTGTAGAATATTTCCGTGCTTGTTGAGATATAATTTAATAGTGTTCATTACTTGCTATTTATCCAAAGACTAAACTTTTGATTTCCTATTAACTAAGTTCAATTTTTCAATATGATATATCGATGAATAAATAGTTGGTAGCCAATTCTTTTGATAAAACGTATTGACTTGTTAGTCCTATTTTCGACAAGAAGCTCTACTTGAAAGTAGGAAAAATTGCTTTATCGTGCATATTACTTAGTAACGTTTTCAATTTTGGGGTGCATATCCCATGTGAAAAATACAATAAACAGAAAAATCAACAGATACATGATTGTAATCAATTTCTGGCATAATTAATAGATGAAAATCAAGCAATTGCGATTTTCTTTGATTAAATGCAAGATTGTAATCAATTTTTTTGCATAATTGATTAGAAATCATTAGTTTTTTACCGATTATAATTGTTTTCTTCACTGTAAGTGGTTAAAATCGATTTATAGCAAGCATAATCGATTATCTACGATGTTATATTAATCTATTAAAATCAATTTTCATCAGTAGTTGATGATGTTTTCTTCGGTTAAAATCAAGCAATACTGATTATAACCCACCGGAATCGATTATAATCATTAGTAGGAGGGGACATTTAGCTTAAATAAAAATTTAGTTTAGTTTTATTACTTAACAATTTATATTAAGTTCAACTCTTTTGTACTAAACACTCAACTCACTGAAAACTAGGTTTGAATGATTGCTTTACGCAAATATCATTCACTATTGAGCTTTTCATTACTCCTAAAAAAATATGTCATGCTATTGTTCAACTATACAAAAGAGGATTCCTGATAACCTCTGATCGATGTCGAACAGTAATAGGTTCTATCCTTACAACAGATGAAGAAACCTCTAGTGAAATCTGATTGGTTGATATCTCTTTTATATCAATGCATCAGATTCGAGGAAACTGCCTTCTGCACTATTGTAAGAACAAAACTTAATGTTGTTCGTAGTTGATCATGGGTTATCAGGGATTCTCTTTTATATGACCCGAACAATAGCACGATGCGTCCCTTTAGGGGTAATAAAAAACTTGAAATTAAATGCTATTTGCTTAACGCAATTACTTAAACTGAATATTAAGTATTAAGCTTGTTACTAAGACTTAATTTTTAACATCAAGTTTCAAGTAGAAAACTCAAACCTAATATTAAGTGTTAAGTGATAAAACTTAACTTAATTTCAAGTTAGGTTAACGGTCCATCCCTAGACTTAAGGATACAGGTCTGAAGAGGGAATTTTCCTATGTGCTAAAAAACTTTTGAGATCAAAATTTGTTCACCAATAGGGCACATATATACCAGAAAAGTTCTGAAAGCATTTGGGTACAAGTCACAAGTTGGCTAAGATATTGACATTGTTGTATAAATTTTTCATTAGAACCCTACTTTTCCGACAAGATTGAAGTTTCCAATTTTGACCAGAAATTTTATTCACATTAAGTCTTCCATAAGACCAGCTAGTGTACAAAGTCTTACGCCTTTAGACAACTCATCTTCCAGATGTTATATTGCTATTATAGAGGCGCTTTCTTTTATGGATATTGTGTTATACCTAAATATTTTGAAAAACTCATATCTATGTGATAAACTGTTCAAAAGTATTAAAACTTTCTAGGCAAGCTGGTCTAATTGAAGCCTTTATGTGGGTAAAGTTTCTCGTGAAATTCGAAAGACTGATATTATTGGAAAATTAGAATTCTGCTGCGAAAGTATACTACATTGTCGATATCTCAGCCAAATTGCAACTCATACTCATATCCTTTTAGACTTTTTCTCTTGCATATGTGTCGTGGAGGTGGATAGGTTTTGAGATCAAAAGCCTTTTTAGCACTTCGAGCAAGGGGGAAAAAGCGTATTTCTAGGTATTTCTCTATTTCAGAAATACCTGGAAATACTTAGAAATACCTGAAAAGTTACAGGTATTTCTACGTATTTCCAGGTATTTCCAGGTATTTCTAAGTATTTCCAGGTATTTCCAGGTATTTCTAAGTATTTCCAGGTATTTCTAGGTACTTCTAGGTATTTCTACGTAGTATGGATAGAGATACCTGGAAACCCCTAGAAATACTTATAAAAACTTAGAAATACTTAGAAATACCTGGAAATACATAGAAATACGGAAATACAGAAATACGCTTTTCCCCCCTAGACTTCGAGGCATCCTCCAATAAGAAAATAAGTATAAGGAAATCTATGTAAAGAGTCTTACGGGTATAGATATGAGGGGGGAGGACGGAATATAGATATAAGGCTATACAGTGAAGGGCAAAAGTTTAAGTGAAATTAGTTTTTAACTATTTTTTTCACATCTCTTTTTCAGTATTTTTTTATATTATGAGGTACGGGTCTCATTCAAATGGTGATATAGATGGTATGAAAGGCTAGCGACATGATGCATTATAGAACGAGACTCCGTCTACCAATATAACTTTTTAATAATTAAAATAATTTGTTTCTATGCAAAAACAGGATTAAGTGTCTTTCAATATTTCGCATTTCGTAACCAAGAAATTTATGCTACAATGAAACAAAATTATATCAATCGATAGGGCATGTAATGCTCTATCAGTTTATAAACAAAAAAGATGTTTTCTTGGAGTTGATCTTCATCTCTAAAACTTGATTTTAGTGAGAACAACTGAAAAACACAAAAAAAGTGAAATTCTTCAAATTTCATCATCGCTCATGTTTGCGGATAGTTAGAAGGTAGAAGGCTGGAAAAGATCTCATTTTAAAGGAAATTGAATGCTCTACACACCTGATGTCAAAAAATACCAAAGTGAATATGAGATAGCAAAAGAAGGCCATTTTTTAGTAGTGCATCAAAGTTTGAAGTTTAGATATTTTTCCTTTTTTCTTCTTCTTTTTCTGTTTATTTCACAAATCGAATAAAAAATCTCACAAAAAATGACTTCCTTTAGCTTTCAAGCATTTTTCAATATGTTCAAGCCTACTGTCTACTAATGCTCGACATGATGTAATTGATATGTTGTCCCATTCTTCTTGTAAACGTTTTTGTAATTCTGCCTTAGCATTAATTGGTTTTGATGCTAATCTTTTGTCAATAATGCTTCATAATTCTTCAACGACATTCAAATCTGGGCTCTTAGAAGGCCATTCGAGCATATTAATTTTCAGTTTCGTAATTTGTTCTTTAACTATATTACTCGTATGCCAACGAACTAAATCATGTTGAAATATGTATTTCGTTCCTTTTAGTAATCTTTTAACTGACGGAATTAATTGATTCTTTAAAGCTTCACAATATTTTGTCAAATCTATATTATTAGAGTAAAGCAATGCTGATGTTGTAGCATAGCCTCAAATAGCACCCCATATACCTACTTTTTCTCTATCTCCTGTGTTAATTTGTTGAATATAATCGGAAGTGAGTTTTTCCGATTTAGTTCGCCATACCATCATTTTATTTCTACGTTTCAAAACGTAATAAGTTGAATTCGTCACTGAATATAATACGACGCCAATTTTCAATTGTATAAGATCTAAACTTTTTACACCAAGCAATTCTTTTCGCCTTATGAATCTCTTTTAAAAATGGCTTGTTGATTTTCTTTGTATAAATATAACCCATTTTATGAAGATAACGTGGAACAGTTTTTGAAGAAACACATGGACTGAATGAATCATTGAATTTTTGTGTAACAATATTGGCATTTGCTCGGTGTTCTCCAGTTGTCAGACATTTAAGATGACGAGCAGCTCTTGGTGTGATTATCGATGGATGACTCGTTCGTGGAAGATCTTTGAACGTACCATGTCCACAATAACGTTTAATAGCATTTTGAACGTAACTCCATGATATTTTAAGTTGACGAGCAACACAAGAAATTGTAAATCCTGCATCAAATAGAGCAACTGCTTGAGCACGTTTGTACTCATTAATTGATTTCCTACCCATTCTACTTCTTTATGTAACGACAAGTGTTATGCTATCTTCCAGCTCAACTTTATTTCGTCAATATCCTCTCCTTTTATACATCGGTCACGAGAGAGAAAAAACACATAGTTGACGGGAGAAATGGACTAACAACATAGAAATGTATTGAGAGTGACATAACACCATTATGTACAGTTGGACGAGGAGGAGAGAAATGATCATTAACGACTAGAATTACTGACACGCTTTACGTCGGCGAATTTAGTCTAAAACAAAGATTATTCTTCTCAACCACTCAAGCACATATATCTCTTTCAGATATGAACGAAATACTTTTATATACGAAAAACATTGTAAAACATGATACTGCGTATATAAAGACTTTTCGACTTTAAAGCTTGGAGACCTGATGATAGACGTAGATAAAAGTGGTTTCGTCTTCAAGAGAAAATTATGCTCTGTCTAGGTATCTAGTGGAGAAAATTTGAGACACTGTTTTCCTCATAGAAATAATTAAATAGTACTACACTGTAATATGATGAAATTCGAAGAATTTCACTTTTTTTGTGTTTTTCAATTGTTCTCACTAAAATCAAGGTTTAGAGATGAAGATCGACTCCAAGAAAACATCTTTTTTTTATAAACTGCTAGAGCATTTCATGTTCTATCGATTGATATAATTTTGTTTCATTTTAGCATAAATTTCTTGGTTAGGAAATGCGAAATACTGAAAGACACTTAATCCTGTTTTTGCATAGAAACAAATTATTTTAATTATAAAAAAGTTATATAGGTAGACGGAGTCTCGTTCTATAATGCATCATGTAACTAGTCTCTAATACCATCTATATCACCATTTGAATGAGACCCGTACCTCATAATATGAAAAAAAATACCGAAAAAGAAATGTGAAAAAAATAGTGAAAAACTAATTTCACTTAAACTTTTGTTCTTCACTCTAGGTATAAGAATATAGTTATAAGGCATACGCGTTAGAGTTTAGACAGATGTATCAACATTGCTCTCTAGTTCGTAGGATATAGACACTATAGCATAGCAACAACATGGGTGAATTTGTAATAATTACTATGAATTTTAATCAATTAAGAATTGATTACTATTAGCCTTAATCAATTTTAATCGATTAATATAGTAGAATAACTGTTTCCTTGATTATAATCTATTTTTAATCAAATTTTGATCGATTCTAATCTGATTTTTCCCCTAGTTTTTACATGGGATACACCTAAAAAATGAGCGAACAGTTTTGCATGAAAAACTCATTTGTTTTTAAAAAATTTATTTTCTGTTTATGGTAAAAATATTCATGTTATTCTGCTAACTTGTTCTCAAGAAAGTAGACAGAAATAGAAAATCTCGAGTGATGTTTCTCTTGAAAGATTCGTTGGTGACATTGTTTTCAGAATAATTCAGGCAAATATCAGTGAAACATGTACTTTCAATGCACAGATCAAATCTTTGTTCGTAGTCGCATCAGATAATGTAGCATATTTTCCATAATACTCCTGTAGGATTTATATTGTTCCGAATAAAAAACATCAACATTTGAAGTTAGAGTAAAAGAGTATCTGGTTAATATTTTCTACCTGTGATCGTTTAAAGACGTTTGAATTAC